CAGCATCCACCTTCAGCAATCTTGAAACAGAGTTTGCACAGTTGGGCTGGTGTCATGAGGATCTTCATTCTTTTTAATCAGGTTCCCAGTGCTACACTGGGATACTTAAAAAGATGAGGAACCAGCCAGGTGCCATGGCTGATGCTTGTAATCCCAGCACTTTGGGAGGCCAAGGTGGGTGGATCACTTTAGCTCAGGAGTTTGAGACCAACTGGGGAAATATGGTGAAATACTATCTCTACAAAAAATATGAAAATAGGTGGGTGTGGTAGCATGTACCTCTGGTCCCAGCTACTCGGAAGGCTGAAGTAGGAGAGAAGAGGATCACTGGAGCCAAGGAGGCAGAGGTTGAAGTGAGCTGAGATCACGCCACTGTACTCCAGCCTGAGTGACAGAGTGAGATCCTATCAAAAAAAAAAAAAAAAAAAAAAGACGGGGAACCAATTTAGTTTTAATCATCAGTTGAGTTATTAATCAGTCCTACCATTCCTCCATCCCTTATCTGCTACTTGCTGCTCATTCTTATTCATATTTTCTCTTCCTCCCCTTTCTTCATCTCGTTCTTTTGTTCAAATCCTAATTAGACTTCAGAGCCAGGCTAAATTCTGCTTCTCCCTGGAAGCTTCCCTTAACAACTACAGGGCTCTCTGACATCTGCCACACAAGCATGGGTTACCCAAAAGGGCAAATGAGTATAAGTATGTGTTCAAGAAGTAACATTTATTCTGCATGGTATGGGGATAAAGCACACAAAAAAAGTATATATTTTTTTTTGTTTCTGGCCTTTAGAGTTCTTAATTTTGTTGATCTTTCCTCTGAAGTTGTATTTTACTTGTGTTTTTCACAGATATGAGCATGTAATTGCATATTGTCATGTGTATGTGTATGGTCTAGTGGCTGAGAATATGTATTTTGATTTGTGTGGTTGGAATCTTAACTCTGACACTTGACTAGTTCTGTGATTTTAGCAAAGCATTTGTGGTAGATAGTCTCCAATCATGGCTGTCATCAACTTCTTCCCTCCCATACATTCACACCACTTCTCCACTGGAAGGTAAAATTTGTTTCTCCTTCCCTCAAATCTTGGTGAGCCTGTAATTGCTTTGATCACTAGATAGTGGCAGAAGAGACATTCTGAGATTTCTGAGCTAAATTCTTAAAAGTACTAGAAGTTTACATGTCTTTCCTCTTGGAATGCCTCCTTTTGGAACACAGCTGCCATGCTGTGAAAGGTACATGGAGAAACAAGCATGGGTATGTGCCCTTGTGGACAGTCCCAGCTGTGCTCCCAGCTGACAATCAGCATCGACCGCCAGCCGTACATGGGAGTCATCTTGCATGTTCCAAACCAGTTGAGCCTTTAAATAAATGCAGCCCCAGACATCAGCATGTAGGGTAGAAGAACCACCCAGCCGAGCCCAGTCAACTCACAGAATCCTGGACATCATAAAATGGTGGTTGTTTCAAGCCACTAAGTTCTGGGGGTTGTTTATTTACAGCATAGATAACTTCCATCTTAAACAGTATTTAAACTCACTAATATTTGGTTTCTTCCTCTGTAAAATTGGGTCAATAATGGTACCTCTCTCATAGAATTGTTGTAAGGATAAATGAAGTTATATGTATGGTAAGTGCTTAGGGCTAGTATGTTACTTATTTACATGAGAAAGAAAATGGGTGGAGCAAACATTTATTGGACAGCTAGTAGGTTGGTGCAAAAGTAATTGTAGTTTTTGCCATTACTTTTATTTTTATTTTATTTTATTTTATTTCATTTCATTTTATTTTATTTGAGACAGAGTCTAACTCCATCACCCAGGCTGGAGTGCAGTGGCATAATCTCGGCTCACCACAACCTCTACCTTCTGGGTTCAAGTGATTCTCCTGCCTCAGCCTCCTGAGTAGCTGTGATTATAGGCACATGCCACTGAGTCTGGCAAATTTTTGTATTTTTAGTAGAGACAGGGTTTTATCATGTTGGCCAGACTGATCTTGAACTCCTGACTGTGGGCCAAGATGGCCAGGGGCAGACCTATGTTATTTCTAGTTAAATGATTACAAGCTTGTATCATGTGATCCACCTGCCTGGGCCTCCCAAAGTGTTGGGATTACAGGCATAAGCCAATGCACCTGGCCTGCCATTACTTTTAAAAGGCAAAAACCACAGTTACCTTTGCATCAACCTAATACTTCTAATACTGCTGCTATGTGCCACAGGCCCTATGCTACATTTTCACGTACATGATCTCTCTTGTTTTTCACAAAAACCTTGTTAGGCACATGTTTTTGTCCTCAGCATTGAGCTGAGATTCAGAGAGGTTAAGTGGTTTACCCAAGGTCTTACAGCCAGCAGGTAGTGCAAGTAGGCTTCAAACTCCTGGCTGTCTCACTGCAAAGCTCATTCCTTTTTTCTACTTTTCCACACACTTTGGATAGAGGGGCTTCCTGAAATCTTCCAAAGTGTGATAACTCTTTTCAGCAAGAAATTACATAATCAGTCAGATCCTATGCAACCCAACCAATATTCTGCTTCTGACATGAATACTAAGGAAAACTTAAAAACATTCTCCAAAGCATTTCACTTCCACGAAGAAAAGAATTTACAAATCTAGTAACAAAGAATCTAGATAAATCTTTCATGAACTAGTTACTTTTAGCTTATGCCACTTCTCTGGGAAGCAATTTCCAGGCATCTAAAGTGGTGTTTCCTTTTATTTTCCCTGAAATATTACCTTAAACCCTCCAGGAAAGGCTGTCCCCCTCATGCCTGTATACATTGCTACTTAGTTTATAAATAAGAAGTAATGTACCTTTTCTCATAGAGCCAGTTTGCTTGGTAAGGTCAGTACAAAGCTGACAAGAAAACCTAAACTAGGTCCCACATACCAGGCCTCCAACATCCTGGCTGCAAGCTCACCAGAGATCTGTGTCCAATAATGAAATCCTCCTCAAATCTGGGAGCACTCAGCTTATTCCTGCCTTCTCAATCTTTTAAGTGCCTCCCTCCCATGCTCCTTCTTTTCCTTTCCCCAGTCTCTTGCAAAATCTTGTTCCAAAATGTCAGTCAACCATCAGCTAATGGGATCAAAAGTTGCCTCACAATCACAAACCTCCTGGTCCCAGCCAAGGGCCCCCCCACCATCATATCCAGTGTCCCAAGATGAACTCCCATCCTCCATGATGTAAGAAGACATTTCAGAGAAACTCATTCGTTATTTTTTTCGAAAGACCAAGGAAAGAAAATGTTACGACCAAGGAAATTGTTGGTGGATCATTGGCTGGGACACGGACATTCAAACATTGAACAATTAATTTGAAGATAATATAAACAGGTTTCATTATACCAATTTTAGGAATATGATATGAATAGTCTGTTGTTTTGAATTCCAGAATGTCCCTCCCCATACGGCTCACCAACCCCCCTGCCTACTGGCCCCTTACTATGAGCTGGCACGTCTCACTACTCTCTCTCCTGCTGGTTGTTTTCTGCATCCCTGTCTGCTGTTAAGAGTACAAATGAACTCACTCTGTGACTGGCCTCATGTGGTTGCCTTGCCTACATTTATTCTGGTTTTCTATTGTGTTGCTGACACATTTTTAAGAGTTCCATTATGTTGGAGCTTTCTTTTTCTACTCTCTTCAGAAAAAAAAAAAAAAGACTTTTCAAAAGAAACGTCTTTTTAAAAATGTTTTTGTTTAAAGAAATAAGATTCCCTCTGGTTATTTGTCCTCTTTCACAATTACAGCCATGTAATCCATGAGGAATCCATTAATGCGTAAGAGGCTTCGAAGCTGCTGCGTGTGTGTGCGCATGTGTGTATGTGTGTGCACACGCTGTTTTTTCTTACTCTTTCTTTCAGAATATTGCTGCTGCCAACCACTGATTTAGGAATGTTTAGTGGTATATGCCAACTCAATAATCAAATCATTTTGGTACTGGGATCCCAACCACAGTCTCTGCAGACCAGTGGAATTTATTGCTTGCTCCAGTTACATTAAGTAATAGTACCAACAGCATTTTGAATTAAGAAGGGTCTGATAAGATGTGATAGAATGTCAGGATAATTCATCTTGATCATAAAACAGTGCTTGTTTTTGAATCTGAAATGTTAAAAGCACAAACAGCCTGATGATCACGTTCTCCATCCCTTGACCTGGGATAGGAATATGATCCATAACTCTCTTCAGGAAAGCAGCTCAGTAAAAACTGATGGTTTTCTGCTACACACACGTCCCTGTTTTTATTCCACAAATACATATCTAATACCTATTGGGAGCCATGCACCGTGCTGAGCACTGGGACCACAGTGGAGAAGAGAGTAAACACAATTCCTGCCACATGGCACTCACCGAGGGAAGCTATCTTGGCTGCGTCAATTACTTCCTAAGACATTTGAGACACATACAAAACAGAGTCATGTTGAAGTTTGTGGACTCTGGAGTCCAACGTAACTGTGTTCTGTTCCAGACTAGACCACTCCAAGCTATTTTATCTTGAGCAACTTACATAGCCTTGCTTAGTTTCAGATTCGTAAATTGCAGTACTTACCTCATAAGGTTATTTCTAGGATTAATTGGAAAAATGCTTGTACAGCTTTTAGCAAAGTGCCTCATTAGCCAGGAATAGTAGTAGCAGTAGTAATAGTAGTAGTAGTAGATGGGCCATATCTGGGGTCCCCAAACCCCAGGTCACAGACCAATACTGGTTACTGGTCCATGGCCTGTTAGGAACTGTGCCGCACAGCAGAAGGTGAGTGGCAGGCGAGTGAGAGAAGCTTCATCTGTGTTCATAGCCAGTCTCCATCATTCACATCACTGCCTGAGCTCTGCCTCCTGTCAGACCAGTAGCAGCATGACATTCTCACAGAAGCACGGACCCTATTGCGAACTGGACATAGGAGGGATCTAGGTTGTGCACTCCTTATGAGACTCTAACGCTTGATGATCTGTCGCTGTCTCCCTTTAGCCCCCGATGGGATGGACCATCTAACTGCAGGAAAACAAGCTGAGGGCTCCCACTGATTCCACATTATGGTGAGTTCTATAATTATTTCATTATATATTACAATGTAATAATAACGCAAATAAAGCGCACAATAAATGTAACGTGCTTGAATCATCCTGAAATCACCCTGCCCCCCACACTGGTCCATGGAAAAGTTGTCTTCCATGAAACTGGTCCCTGGGTGCCAAAAAGGTTGGGGACCACTGAGCCATGTGAACCTTCAGTAGAATAGGCTGTTTCCTTATCCTTGGTATTTCAAGTTCATGGGTCCACCTGTCACCAGAAGGTCACAGATCCGTCCTGCCCTGGGATTCTTTTGCAATTGAGGGAGAGAAAAAAAAAAGGCTCACCTAATGCTCAGAAACCCATCTTCTGCCTCCTCTTGCAGTGCCTCCTCTTGCCCATGGAAGGAATCCAGCTTCTTGGTTCTTCACTGTCCAACCCAGTTTAGTGGCTGGCCATTCCACAGAGAGGATCCTCCACACTACCTGAGCCCTGATGTCTCTGGCTCCAAAGGACGCAGCTCTGCTCATCCCCCCTGAGGCCCATCATGAGTTGCTGTGGCTGTGGAAGCCTGCTGTCCTGGGATGGAGACTCTTCCCACTGCCCTGTCCCTTCAGTTTCAGCAGAAGCATGATCCTGCTCCATGTGGATCCCTGAAGCAGCAGATCTGGAACTCCGCTGATGCTGGGGCCTTCAGGGACCACGAGAAACCCATCTCAATGATGAATCCTGGGCTTTTTTTACCCCTTGGGACAGTCCTGGTTTCAAACATTTACCTCGGAAAGAGCACTCAACAGCTGCCACGTGGCTGCCCTGAGGTTTGGGCTGAAACAACATGACTATTATACCTACTCAGACCCCTCCCAAGAATGGTCTCGAGGTTCTCCTTGGCACAATGGAGTATGATTGGGCTATTGCCCAAACTGTGATTTGGGGCATATAGCTCTGCCTTGCCTGGTTCCTCTGTACCTAGTCTCTCTAGTGGCTACCTCTTCTATTCAGCAGGACAGAGAAGCTATCTCAGTTTTTATTCTAAGAATCCAGGTGCAAAACAAACAAAACACCTCATAGTAGCTAATCTGCCCCCTCCCTTCTCTATGAAGTGGGCAGGAAGAAAATATCCCCCCTGACCCTGCCTAGCCCATGCTTTCCTAAGAGATCTTACTATAGCCAGCTTGTGAGAGGAGAGTAAATCTAAATGAAAGAATCATGAGTTTCCTCCTCACAATAATAGCTCTATTCATTCAACACTTACTGAGTGCCCAGTTACTTACTTGGTGCTAGAAGACAGATATATCCCAGCAGACTTCTTGGTAGTTTAGCAAGAAACTGGCTAAGCAGGTCTGTATTAGTTCAAGGGAAAATCAGGCTGATGCCAGGGGCTGAACTCTAGAAGCTCTCTTCTAACAAGGCTGCTTCCTCAACCAAGAAGTTCCTACTATCTGCAGTGTGCTAGATGTCCTCTGCCATCGTTTCTCATAAATACATAGAGCAGTAAGGGGCAGGGTCCTTTCCCAGGAGCCCCTGCCAGGAAGCCAGTATCCAGCTCTGGCTGACCAAGTACACAGCTTTCTGTTGATGATTATAATGAGGGTGCTATGCATTCTGCTGCCACTCCACGTAGAGGCATCCCCGGTAAACCATATTTCACTTTCTGCTACTTGTGAGTTGTCAGGTGTGTATCTATGTCACCTTGGCATGACAACATCAGATCCCAGCAGATTAGAAATGCAAGTGTGAGGGCCGGGCGCGGTGGCTCAAGCCTGTAATCCCAGCACTTTGGGAGGCCGAGGCGGGTGGATCACGAGGTCAAGAGATCGAGACCATCCTGGTCAACATGGTGAAACCCCTTCTCTACTA